CGAGGATCCGGTGGCGATGGACGTCTCACTGTGTGCAACCCTGCAAGTCCTCATACTGCAGAGTGCAGAGTGCAGAGTCGCGGCGTTGGGATGCGCATCTGTGCCATTTGTGACAACTGCTAATGACGGGGGGAGTGGGATCGACGGACGGGTTTTGTCGGGTGGGGTGAATATGTCTTCGGCCGGAGATGCCGCTGGGAAGTTACTAGCAGTAGTAGCTACCTAGGTAGGTAGTCAACCTTACTTCGCATAGCTGGAAGCCTGGAAGTCTGGAAGGAGGAACGAGGACAATGGTGATTGTAATTGATGCAATATTTGTTCGCCCATGAGATGAGACCCAACGCTGCGATATAACAGTGTCTCACCCCCTCCGGCGCTAGTTGATCCTATCGGAGGAGACCCAGGGGTTCCGGATATGGACTCCGACCATCACGGCCGGTCGCTGAACATAGGGCGTCCTCCGGTCTCCGTAGTACCTGGACTGCCCAGAGCCAGAGGATATCTACCTACGTAGTAGTACTACCTACCTATGGGGTCTGGTCGTGGCGAATTCGACGGCGGAGTAGTATGCATTGCCAGATCCTGGTGCCGAAGGATGCCGGGGATGCACTAGATACGTAGAACCGTTAGTCGCGGCCGATAGATAGTAGTCCTGCTGTCCTGGTCCTGGTCCTGGTCCTGGGTACTTGGTGCTCCTCCCCGACGGTAGCCATCCGCGAATGCAAACTGCTGCGACCTGCCTTATAAGTTCTGGCTATATCTCCGTCCGTTATCCCGCTGCTAGGAGGAGAGAGAGTGGTTCCGACGGGGACGGAGGCCAAGTCCAATTAAACTCCGCTCAGGCTAGGGTGGTGCGGGAGATGGATAGGCCGTGTCCCCCCCCTTAGACTCTTAGACTCTTAGTACCTCTTTATTAAGCGGGCGAGGCGGGAGTCTGGAGGTCAGGGCGAGAGCACGGTTGCTGTCATCCCTGATAGGGACCATCTCCAGGATGAGGTGCGTCGGGATGTCCCCAGTCTACCTACATCCAGTCTTGACCTTGAGGAGAGCAGGTTTCGTGCAGCGCACCGCAACGCAGGAATGTCCAACCCGCCAAATCTCGGTATTTGTTCGGGTAAACCGTAAAGATCTGATTCAATCGCACCAATGAGCTCTGGTGCGGGTTTTTCCTGTTCTGGGCACTCGGCATATGAAGAATGGGTTTGGAGTAGGCAATCTCGAGTATCGAGGCAATCCAGTTAGATTGCTCGTGAATTTTTTTTCGGTTCATTTTTGATTTGCTCATTTTTATTTTTAAATTTTCTATTTTTTTATTCATTCATTTCCGGTTGGCGCCAATGTGGGATCGGTGGATGAGATCGTATGATAGTACTTTAGACTTTGCTTAGCTCGGCCGTAGGGTGAGAGCCTCCGGCCCACTCCCTCCCAGCCTGGGAGAGGGGGGAACACAGTTGTTTCGAAGGGAGAGTTTGGTGGTGGTGGTGGTGGTGGTGATGATGGTGGTAATGAGACTGACAGATAAGTCAACACATCCATCCAGACACTATCACACCGGTCTAGACTCTAGAGGCTAGACACCCTGTCACAGCGGAATCAGCCCCGCGAGGAATCAGTCAGAACGTCCTGGGCAAGCCTGGCTCTGGCACGCCTGACGGTGCAGATCGGATCGCCCCAAGATGAGACAAATCCGACTCCAATGGACCAAACGGGCGCTGCTTCCGGCGGACCACAAACCGTTACAGGAGACTCCAAACTCAAATCCCCAGCACCACTGCACCAGCAAGTTAGCAACAAGTTAGCAACCACCGCTACAAGCTAAACGCACCTACCTACTAGGACCTTAGGTAGCCGCTCCAGCGACAAGTCAGAAGTCTCAGGAAAAACCGCGGCCCTCCGGCTAGTAGACCCTCTTTTGTCCGTTTTCCGGATGCGCCCCGTCCACTTGGTCGCGAGTCCCCACGAATGACCGGCCTGTGATCCTCGATGGGCTGAGGGATTCCTACGAACTTGGGACGCGGTTCCTTACGCCCTCTCCTGGATGCTTCCCATCTCTTTCCCGGCTTGGAGTAAGTAGTAAGTACTACTAGGTACTGCTCCACCCGCGTAAGGACGGACTACGGAGGTTTCCGTACTGGCCACTAGTCGACGATAAGCTGGTTGGGTTGAGGGACTGGACTGCAGCCCTTCTTGCCCTGGATGGCAGTACTACTACTACTACTACTAGTGGTGGTGCTGGTCACTCCTGAGGTAGTTGTTCGTCCGAGCTTGGGCAGCCCGGCCGAAACTGGTCGGCATATGGAGTTTGCCAGGCTGGCCCTTTCTGGCGTGGGGAATTTTTAATTCTTTGCCAATTCTTTGGCAATGGAATTTTTCATTGCCATTGATTAACCGCTCGCCCATCTAGACGCCAAGTGTGCGCTATGCTGCTGGGATGCAGCAGTATTATTTATGGGTCCCTAAATCGACTCTTCGTCCCCCCTCGCTCGATTCGTGTGTAGCCCTCATATGAGCCTCACGATCGCTGCACAGTGCACACCCTGAAGGAGGCGATGGCAGGCGATGGCAGGAGGGAATAGACGCATTGTCCCGACCAGACAAAACAAGGTTAATTGCAACTGCCGTCCCGAACAGATTGTGCTGTCCCGTGGTCGGTGGTCGCATGAGCGCCTCAAGCCAATGAAGCCATGACTAACGCCATGGAGCTGGCAATGGAACGTTCCGAGCACCAACGAGGATCCTCCTGCGGGGCGTCCGTTCTGAAACCTAATCACATTCATATTAAAGAATCAAGCCGGCCAGGGCCAAAAAAAGGAGACGATTTCGCACGCTGCAATAAAAACCCCTCAAGGGCCAGGTTGAGACAAGACGTCGGGGTCTGACGACACTAAGTATCTGAGGCCGACCCGGATAAAAGTCTAAATGCCACCACCCTTTCCATCCATGGCATGATCAATCATATTGAAGTTGGAACATTGGATGAGGATGCTGGATCTAGACGATCAATTCTCCCCGATAGCTCGATTCTAGCCTGCGTCTAAGGCTAACCGCGCCCGACGGCTATCCTCGATATTTCCCCGGGCCGGTGGTGGTCGAGGTGCTTGCCATGTAGGAGGCTAGGAGCACGATGGACGGACGGACGATTCGAATCCCCGTTGGAGTGGAGCTTGTCGAAGCTGAACCGAGGACGGAGTAGAAGTGAATGCCGAAGGAGGGAGGGGATCATGGGAGACTCCGTCCCGCAACCAGAATACTAGTAGTATCTATCTATCCAATTATCCCAGTATCCCGTCCCCTCTCGAGCATGGAGTATCTAGTATATCCTAGGTATAGCATCTAGATGGTCTTTTGGCTGGGTGGGTTGGCTGCTGCCAAAGTGGATTGGCAAAGCGTTGGAGTTTGGACTAAACCCGTCTAGAATTGTGAATCAGGACTCCCTGATCATCCTGATCTGGATCGGTCATAAGTTGCCTTTTTTTCCAATCTACTGGGAATTCTTGGATGGCACTTTGTCAGGATCCCCAGCTAAAGCAGGCACCATATCCGCCCTCTGCTGCTTTCTCTTCCGCTCTCCTCTCCTCTTCTTCCTCGGCCTCATCCTCCTCCTTCCCACTTACACACTACACACATCATCCATCCACTTTCACATTCTCTGGCTCCCCTTTTTCTTCCCTTCCCCCCCCTTGTCTATTTATTATTCTCATCTCCCCGAACCCCTCCCCGCTCTCCTTCACCAAGCGTCTCCGCCCCTCGACCTACTAGCACCGTACACTTACAGGGGCATTCCCACATTGGCCCGACTAAGCAGCAGCAGCGCCATTAGCACAATTTATCTCTTCCATCCAGTGCCCCGCGCCATCAGGTTTTGGCGCAAACAGGCTATCCTGCCCAGGGCCCATTTTTATTCGTTAGTGGCAATAGCCGTTCGGCCAACATCAGGCCAGCTTGACCACTTACAACCAGGTGCCTCGGAGCGGCTCTTACAGGCTGATATTGCCCTCTCAAGGGACCTGTAATTTGGTCGGTTGTCTTCGGGCTCTGCAGGTGCTTTATTATTGTCCTACCTGGACCCCGGACCCTATCACTTCGCAACAAACAACCCGGCTTCCATGCCTGTCTGGTGGTGATTCCCAACCCTGCCAACATCTGCAATCGCACTTCCTTCCGCCCCCATCTTTCTCCTGTCCGTTCTGAAACGGAGCCCGTGGTGCATTCTGGTTTGCTGTCTGGCACACAACCCCCCCAAAAGTGAGCGTAGTCTGGCGGAAACCCAACAAAATCACTACCTAGCCTACCCCCCCTCCCCTCTCCATTGTTCGATGCGTCTTGCGACAGTCACCTGCAACCTGGAAGCAATTCAATCCTGGAATGGCGAGCTCGCTTCGAAAATCGAGTGTGTTCCAGTTGTTTTCGCCATGACTGTCATCTTTTAGATGCTACCTCTTCCCGTTTACCCACATTGAATTGTATGGAAACTAGCCAGTGAGCCTGCATGGTGCGGACTCGGTACTCTCGTCGCAGAACATCGGTCTCGAACAGCCGTTGCTGAGAGAGTAATATCAACTCAGCCCGTCACTCCTGTCCTCCCCTCCCCGGCTGGGCAGCGATCGACCTACCACGGAGGGGCAATCGCGCCTCTCGTACGGCATCCGACACCTAGAAACAGCTTGCCCCAGCATTTGTTTCCCACCCATTAGTATCGGGATAGCCTAATCCGTTTCCCTTCAAAAAGAGCGCTCCGGGATTAGGGCAGCTAGAGAGAAATTGGTGGGTGGATGTGCCTTGACTGAAGTCGAGCATGTGATGATACCGTTGCTAATCCCCTTACTATCTGATAGTCTTCCTCTCTGCTCTTCATCTCTTCCGGCATCTAAGAATCCACCGGATCAGCTAAAGATACTACAGCCTGGAGTTCTCTCTGGACCTTAGCCGGGAAAATCTGATGCTCCTTAGCCTACCCTAGGTGCCCCCGATCGACTTCGAACACCAGAACCTCTCTCACCATGTCGGCCTTCCCAGCGGGCTCCTTCAGGCGCATGCCACCTGCTATAGATGCAGTGTCACAGCGACAGCCAGAGCATCCAGCTAGCCAGTCACTTCCCGCATCCCACCCATACCAGCTTCCACCACCTCGCGCTTCAGCCTCCCTGCAGCTTGGAACAGATCCATTCCTACATCAACGAAACCACGCAGAGGCTCGCGACCTTGAAGAGACAGCCCAAGGCCGCTCTATGATCCCGGGCCAGCAGCAGATGGCTAATGAACAGCTTCCGTCAGTCAGCCAGTTATTGACGCCCACAGCCCATTCGAGCCGCCCGTCGTCTCCCTACCAGCCGCACCGATTTGGCATTTATACACCACCAAATGGGAACACGGCGTCCCCTACCCCTTTTCGTCAGAGCGATTCCATACCACGTCCTGGACTACATGAAAGCCCTCGGGCCTATTCAGAGGCAGTCCCACACCCACACTCCAGGGGTCTTCCGCCACTGGCTCATATCTCCACACCGGGCCTAGCACATGAGGGTCCGCTACATCACCTTCACAGTGGATCACCTGTGCTATCCAGTCAACCTGCGTCCTATCCCTACCATGGGCTCAACTCTCCAGAGAAGGAGTACGCCAGAGACTTCTCGCCTTCCGAGACCCCCGATTCTGCAACGACAACAGGTAGCCGATCTCAGAAAGCAAGCGTGCGTCCTCATGTGGTGGACGAGAGGTACGTGGAGGGGGAAGGCCTGTGCTACATCTACGCAGACGGCTCGCATTGCCCCAAAATTATCGATGGGGTTGCAGTCAATGCAAACTGGGGGATCACGAAGGCTGGCAAGCCGAGGAAGCGACTCGCCCAAGCCTGCTTGACTTGCCGGGAAAAGAAGATCAAATGCCAACCCAATCTTCCTAAGTGTGACCAATGTCAGAAATCTGGGAGGGAGTGCAGGTTCGAGAGCGCGTAAGTTTCCGGGACTGGAGTCCAGCTGCTCGCGATAACGCGACTAATTTGTCTTGTCGCTGCTCTAGACCTCGCGGCCATCGTGCGGCATTGAAGGCAACCCAGCTTGCGAGCAGATACGAACACCGAGAGAGCTTTCCTTCTGGAAGCTACGCCTACGGTACCACATCCCACTCTCCGTACTCTGCATTACGGGCGTCAGAAAGTTCAGCTTCACTTCCGAACACTAGTTCTCAATCACCGAGATCCGAAGTGTCGATGTTGCCCCCTTCTGCCATGGAAGGCCCCCAAGACAGTGTGATGGATCAATACAGATATAGAATGCAGGGCTATAGCCGGTCATCTGCTGGAGCTGAGGATACTACGAGACGCCTGAATGATGAGCTTTCGTTCACGTCTCATGACTACGCTGATATCGTGATGGAAATGAAGGACCTGGATCCCCAAGATCCGCTCGTATCTGACTGGAATACCGATCCGTATGAAGCGGATGGGGAGCTCACCGTGCACTATGTCGAGAGCTACTTTACCCATGTGAATGACCGCCTGTACTACATGTTTCCCCGGAAGCGGTTTCTTCTGTGGCTGCGATCGTGCCATACGAAGTCCCTGGAAGACAATATGCTTCTATACTCGATGATGACGCTCGGATCGATATTTTCCGACCGGCCCGATAGAGTGACGGCGCTCAAGAGGTACTCACGCACGGCCCGGTATGCCGTGGAACATAGCCGACATTCCCTTTCGCTGCAACTCGCTCAAAGCCGCATCATCATCGGACTTTGGTACTACGCCATAGGTGCCCTGGTGAGAGGTTGGGACATCATCGGAGCGGCCGTTCGGACAGTGTGTGGGCTACGGTATAATGTGGAGTCGGGGGGTGTCATCGTAGACCAGAGTCGGCCCTGCGAATATGGCTTGCATCCACAGGCCCTGATTGAGTGTCGTAGGCGGACTTTCTGGGTCGCCTTTCTTATGGACGTGAGTGGCACATCATTTCGTTTGTTCCTAGGCCGAAACTAACTATCAGCTTCCTAGCGCATGTCTTGTTTTTACACTCCGTCATCCACGTTCATCTCGGCCCAAGCAGCATATCTAAGACTTCCTTGTCGCGAGGAGGTCTTCGAGGCGCAAGAGTATACCACGGTGCCCTATTTTCAAAGCTTCCTCAACCAAGTACCCGCGTCCCCTGAAAATGATACCGCGAGTTTGAGTGCGATGGCACTACTGATTGAAATCATGTCTCTTTGGGGAGATGTATCGGACCACGTCTCCCGCCTATCCTTGATACCGACCGAAGCATATAACAAGTTCTTCGAGGACTTTTACACGACGGTTGTCGGGCGCGCCGATGAATGGGCTGCTCGGCTTCCCGACCATCTGACCTTCTCAGCCGTGAACATGGAACGAAGCATCCGAACGAAGAAAGCCGATGCATTCATGTCAATCCATCTACTTTACCACGCAACCTTGATGGCGCTGAATAGACATGCTCGGCACCAGAATCTTCGCGCGGAGACCATTGAGCGGCACATCCGCACCATGCGGAATCATGCCGTGGAGATTCTTCGAATCTCACTCGCTCTTATGCGTTATGCCGCAGAGTATGAGCCGTCTCGCATCATCTTGGAGCCGGGGACGGTGAGAGGAACCATTCTAAACCCATTCCTCGGATACGTGATTGTGTCCGCCACGGATGTTCTTAGTGCGGCGGGATTGATGGTCGATATGCCGGAGAGCGTAAACCTCATCCGCGGTGGCTTCGAGGCCGTCCGAGAGCTGACCCGCTTTTGGAGCGGCGCTCTCCCGCTGGCGACGTTGATCGAGAAGCGGCTGGAAGCTATGAGCGAGGGCCTGCATCAAGTCGATTCCGGCCGGAAGGCCGCTTTTTTGATCAATGGGCCATCCCTGGATAGCCAGGTGCGCGCGGGCGTGCAGAAGCAGCAGGACTTGCCGACGAGCGAAGACCTCATGTACGGCGGGCTGCCGCGCGAGCAGCTGTTCGGCGCACTGGGGGCGGGCGATATTCCCTTTGCGAATGAGACGGTACTTTGGATTAAAGAGAGAAGCTGACGGCTTCCCTACCCGTTTTGGTCGTGATTTTGCATCATGAGCGCATGTATAAAAGCTGTTGCAGCTGCCTTTTTTATCTTTCTTTTTTTTTTAAGAAGTTTATACCCAGGAGGCTTGTTGGCTTGCGTTGTTAAATGCTTGTTGTGGTTGCCCAGATGCTGGGATGCTGCTCCTACAACGCGATATAGGATTGGCCGCCGATCTTCTGACATGAGTGACGATGTATTGCACATGGACTGTATATTACCAAACAATAAAAGCACTGGATATTGGAACGAATTGTGTAGATTGAGTGACGAGTCATTTCCTTCTGCATCTGTCCCACTTGGAATGCCCAATCGGGGCGCCGAACCCTCTTTGCCTTATCGGCGCCATCAGCGCGCCTTCAACTCTTCCTAGTTCATACTCTTCATACGACCAAATATAAGCCCAAATCTCCTATTGACTCTCCCCTCGTGAACTTCCATCCCGGAGATCCAAACCGCCAACATTGAACCCCGCCCGCGCAAAGAAGCGAAAGAGGAGAAAGCAACCGCCGCGGGTCCGCCGAACTGCCGCCCTCATTTTTTCCGACGTCATCCATCCTCCGTTTCTGTCAAAATGCACGTCGGCCTACCTACAGCCACCACGTCGCGCATTCAGGCGCATCGTCATCATAATCCTCCGTCTCGCCTGCCTGATTAACTGCGACACCATCTATCCACCGTCCGAGATGACCTACTAAAACAAATCCAGCTACTAATAGCACCCTGCCTACGAAATCGACGCGCGCAACACCCAAGCAAAATCCAAAGTGCGACACAAGCATAACCACCACCGCCGCCGCCGCCATGGACAACAACACCCCACACCAAGATGATCCCCTCTCCTCAACCGATGAAGAGATAGACTACTATGCCATTCTTAATCTCCCGCGAGATCCACCTCCCACAGAGGCACAAATTCGCTCCGCGTACCGCACTCTCACCCTTAGCTTTCATCCAGATAAACAGCCACCTGAGCTGGTGGAGTCGGCACGATGGCATTTCGATCGCATTCAGACTGCGTATGCTACGCTGGTTGACCCCAAGAAAAGAATCGTGTATGATTTGCTGGGTGCAGAGGGCCTGAGGAACGAGTGGGGGCAAGGGGATTTGAAGGTTGGGGTGAGGGCCATGCCTAGTGGTGAATTCCGGAGCTGGTTTTTGGAAAGGATGAAGAGGAAGGAGAGGGCAGTGGTCGAAAGTTTGGTTAGGTCTAGGGTATGTGTTCCTTTTTCTTTGGCTTTCTGCTTTTCTTAAAAAAAAAAGCAAATCCAGTCCCAGGTTTGAACTGGGAAGTTAAGAGGCTTTAGTGAGTGAGTGCTAATTGGTGGGTCTATATGTAGGGATCCTTCACGCTTGGGATTGACGTCTCTGATGCTGTTACCATCGATGAGGAGGATGGGATCATGTATATCCAGATGCCGTCGCCCAAGCCCTCGGCATTTTCAGTGGGGTTTTCGTCTAGGGTTCCTATGCCGACGTTGGAATTTCTATTGGGGGAGAAGGAAGGAGATGATGATGAGGAGGAGGAGGATAAGGCCAACAAACCGTTCGTGGACGATGGTGATGACACGGAGTTGATAATAAATGCGGGCATCACCGGGCAGCTAGGCCAGCCGTATCAGGACGCGACAATCCGGCTGCCGGACGGTACAGTCGAAGATCGTCAGGTATGTTGATTGATACGTGGAATTAGTCGTCTGAGGCGTTGCTAATGCTGTGTCTAGCTGCCGCTGCCATATGTACTGGCCGCGGAACAGTTTCACCTGGGAGTCAGTGCGGCTCATGCATTTGGAGGGGCTTATGGCGCAAAGGGGATGCTTGCAAAGCCACTGTTCTCGTTTCTGCAGGATACGAAAATTGCTGTGAATGCTTCGGCGTTGCCGCGCCCATCGCTACAGACGAGCTGGGTGAAGTCTGTTATACCTATCCCTGGCACAACGCCATTTCAGGTCCAACTGACCGCTAAATTTGACCGATCATTGCGGCAGGCGCTTCCTAGCCTTGGTCTCAATGTCAGCAGGCCCATTGGCGATCGGACGTTCGTGTTTTGTGACTGGTCGAGCGGCACCGTGTTATGGCCGCTGGCTGTACATCGCTTTTTCCAACCGCTTATGCATATTGGTTTGCAGCCTGAAACCATGCTCTCCATTCCTCTTCAATTGGGCAGTTTCCAGATCGGCGTGGTCTCTCAGGCCACCCAGCAGGCCGGAGGGTTGGATGACGACGATAACGACGAGGAAGATAACGAGGAAGAGTTAGAATTGACCCGTCGCAAGCAGCGCAAGGAATCAAAGGCCGCCGAATCCTGGCAGGCAGTCATTGCAGCTTCCCCTATGGGGCCAAGTATGTCTTTCGCCTATTCCCGGAATGTTTTCTCTGGGCAAGCGGCCTACGAGCAGGTACGCTCGGAATGGAGCTCTGAAGGACGTTATCCCTTGACGGCGGACAACGAACCGCGGTCTGTTCGGATCAATGTCGACACCATTGTGGGGCAGGATCTGTCCCTTGGGTGGCATATTGAGGGAACCCGCAAAGTTGGTGAGTTCGCTCGCATGGGACTGGGTGTTGGTATTCAGGGCGTGCAGGGCCTCGTCATGACGGTATCGTGGAGCAGACTGGGCCAGAAGATCCGGCTGCCGATTTCGCTCATCCCATTCGAGGCTGCCAACGCGGATATAGCTGCATTGGCAGTGATCTGCCCGTGGCTAGCGTACTGTGCGCTGGAGTTCGGTGTTATTCGCCCGAGGGATAGGAAGAAGCAACGCCGAGTCATTGCCCGACGACAAAAGCAGCTCAAGAAGCTGATGCCTAAGAAGAGAGCAAAGAGCCAGAAGGCTATTGAGCTTATGGCCGAGCAAGTACAGCGCCGACAGGCGAGGGAAGCCGAGCAGAATGGCTTGGTCATCACCCGGGCTGAGTACGGTCACTATCCTTCGAAGAAGGACAAGGATGGTGTTAGAGAACCGCAGGTCACAGATGTTTCTATTCCGGTGGCTGCTTTGGTTGATCATGGCCAACTGGCCATTCCAAAGGATATGGTCAAGGTTAGTATAAGACCCTCCACAGACAACCCCTGATTTTGTTCTTCGGCTAATTTAAACCAGTCCCATATACTTGGATTCCATGACCCCGCTCCGCTTCTGCCAAAGACGCTGAAGATCTGGTACATCTACCATGGTAAGGAGCATTACACCGAGGCAAATGACGCGGAAGGTATTGCCTGTCCCATGCGTCCGCACTTGCTGAGTTGAGGCTACTGATGTACAGCTCCTCGCCTCATGATTTCCTGCATCGCTAGTTATTTGGCATATCTTTCTATTCATTTGTTGCATGAGTCTGCATTGCTACATAATATAGCGTCCCCCTCTATGTGAGTCTATAAGGGCATTCATTGATCAGTCTGCGCAGGGCAGTTGGATCTTCGGAAGAGGAATAATGAAGGAACGGACTATCTACTTGCCTGGGCGTCACTCTATGTCTAGGTCCGGCGTGACTTGCTGGCCTGTTTGAGCTCGAACCAGCCATTTAATATTTCCAACTATTCTCTACTCTTGAATTGCATAAAACATCCACACAAGATCCATGAATAAAAGATTAAATGAAATGTAAAGTTAGATCCAAGAGTAAGGCGGTGGCTACTCACGTGACCCGCTCCTGTTCCGCCGCCGCGCCAAAAAGAGCCAAGCATCCTCCTCGACCATTTCATCACTCCCTCCATCTTCCCAGTTCCCAGCCCCTCCCACTCCACAATGGCATCCATCGCGGAGGGCCTCTTCAAGTCTCTTCCCAAGCCGAAGTACACCGGTGAAGAGGAGGAGCTGCCACAACATGCACAACCTCGAGGTCCGCGGGTCGTAGGCCCAGGACAACTCGACGAAACACAGATTGTTCTCCGGGTGGGTTACACTATATTGCAATTCTACTCGTCTTCAACCGATCATCTACGTAAGATTTAGGCTGATTGTGGTGACTACAGAGGACCGGCCCTCCTCCCTACCAGAACCGAACCGGATGGCGGCCCCGCGCCCCCGAAGACTTTGGCGATGGCGGCGCGTTCCCCGAGATCTTGGTCGCACAGTACCCGCTCGACATGGGCCGGAAGGGCACATCGTCGACTTCGAACGCGCTTGCCGTGCAGGTCGATGCCGAGGGAAAAGTCAAATACGATGCTATTGCGCGCCGCGGCCACAGCGACAACCGGATCGTACATGCCTCCTTTAAGGATCTGATTCCGCTTCGTCAGCGCGTTGATATGGGTGAGGTGTCGCTGGATCGGCCCTCGGAGGAAGAAGTTCAGGCGCAGATGGAGAAGACCAAGAACGCCCTGGCCAGTCTGGTGGAGGGTGCAGCAGCGGCGCAGAAACCGAAGAACGTCAAGGGCGGTCGGAGAGCGGAGCCTACGTTTGTGAGATATACACCTGCGAACCAGATGGGTGATACGTCGCGGAAGAATGATCGGATTATGAAGATCGTCGAGAGACAGCAGGATCCGATGGAACCGCCCAAGTTCAAGCATAAGAAGATTCCTCGCGGCCCGCCTTCGCCGCCTCCGCCTGTCATGCATTCACCGCCTAGGAAACTCACGGCTGAGGATCAGGAGGCATGGCGTATCCCGCCGCCGGTGTCGAATTGGAAGAATCCGAAGGGTTACACGGTTCCGTTGGATAAGCGGTTGGCGGCTGATGGACGCGGGTTGCAGGACGTGTCGATTAATGACAAGTTTGCGCAGTTTGCCGAGGCGCTGTTTACGGCGGACCGACACGCAAGAGAGGAGGTGAGGCTGCGTTCCCAGATGCAGCAGAAGCTGGCGGAGAAGGAGAAGGCACAGAAGGAGGATCATTTGCGGGCGTTGGCCCAGAAGGCCCGCGAGGAGCGTACGGCTGGCAGTCGGCGCGATTCTCGTGCGGGATCTCGCTCGCCATCACGCAGTGTCAGCCGCAGCCCATCGCCGTACTCGGCCAGTGAGGATGAGGATGCTGCCCGGGAGCGGGAGCAGCTGCGTCGTGAGCGTCGCCAAGAAGCCGAACGGCAGCTTCGACAGTCCCGGATGGGTACCGAGCGACGGATCCAGATGATGGCACGGGAGCAGAATCGGGATATCTCGGAGAAGGTGGCGTTGGGGCTGGCCAAGCCGTCGCAGGCGTCCGAGTCGATGTATGACTCACGTCTGTTCAATCAGACGAGCGGTATGGACACGGGGTTCAACGAGGACAATCCGTATGACAAGCCGCTGTTTGCCGCGCAGGACGCCATCAACAGCATCTACCGTCCACGGGCACAGGCCGATGACGACGACAACGAGGGAGCCGAGGGCGAAATGAGCAAGATCCAAAAATCGAACCGGTTTGAGGTCTTGGGCCGGGCGAAGGAGGGATTCCGGGGTGCTGAATTAGCTGAGGTACGTCCCACCCCATCCCCACTACGTTTCCTTACAAGACTGTGCATTAACGATCAAATCAGGCTCGCGATGGCCCCGTGCAGTTCGAAAAAGACACCACTGACCCCTTCGGCATCGACAGCATGATCGCCGACGTCACGGGCGGAGGCGGATCCGGTGCCGGCCAGAAGCGCTATGGCATTCAGGAAGTCGACCGTTCGGAACGGGGCTCTAAACGGGCGCGTGTCGATGACGATTAATTATCTTGTGTATACCTTTTTTCATAGGTACATACCTATCTACCTACCTACCTACCTGTACTCATTGGTTTCTATCTTCTGGGGGTTATGTGCATTGCTGCTGGCGTTGAGTGTGCGGTTACTCTTATACTTTCTTCCTTTATCAAACGAAATGAAAAGTGGTTAACTACGGAGTACTGGATACCGTCCTCTTTCTCCCATATTGTCTGCCTCCTCCCTCTATCCTAATCTACTAGCCCAACTCCTTCAGATGGTCTACACAATATACTAGATACCACCAGTGGAAGCCGAGATAAGCTACACCCCGCACCCTAGTATCCGTATGAAGTAACAGAACCTAGATAGGATAGACCAGGATGGATCAACCTTCCGAACATAGTTACTTCATCCTCCTTTCTCCTCCTCCTATTTTCTTCCAGGAATACATACCACCCACATACTAGATAAACCTGAGCACTAAGATCATCATCATCATCATCTTATCTACTACACCCGTATCTTGAATCCACCCACCCACCCACACCCATCCAGGAAAGCATGCAAGAAAGCAGAAAACGTACGATCATGATATCCACATCCACATCCCAAAACCCAACAATCAAGGAAATTGAGAGCAGATGGATGGATGGATGGATTGTATGCATATATGCATGTAGGTACTATTAAGTAAGTAGTAGTGAGTCACCCGACCAAACAAAACCACACTAATTGAAGTAAACCAAAGCAGGAAATGTACATAGGTCTAATTTAGTTGAAGAAAAGGGGTGTGTGATTCTTGGATCCCGAATCAAGTGATCAGGATGTGGATTTCCGGGGTGTGGATGAGGAGTAGATAAACATGATGAGCATGGAGGGGGGGGGGGGGGCATGACGTAGTGACCTGCATATCCTTTTTCTTTACTTGCAAGTAGATAGAGTGGGTTTATTGATTGGGATATTATTGGGGGAAGAAAGGTTAATAGTTATTGTTTAGAATGTAAATCAATTGTCTAAGCTGAAACGTTACTATATTTCTTGGATTATACGGAGTACGGAGTATTCTGCACCGGAGGAGGGGAATGCTTACTATGTGTGCTTGTTTCTGTGTTTGACTGTGCACTCTGTGCGTGTGTATGGAATGAGGTGCTGTCCTAACTACTTACGTGCTTCTTTTAGATTTTAATGCATTTGCAAATGACTCCGCCAGTAGGATTATACAAATGTAGAGACCAGCATAGAGGAGGATAGGTATGGCTGGGCTGATTCCAGTTATGGATGGATCGTAACTTAGGCCTTCGACATGCATGCGAACATCAGGCCACAAGGATGTCGGGTCGATCAGCCGGATGACCAGACTGATTGGACGATGAACATCCCAAATCGACGACGTACAGGAGGGGATGGTGCGTTGATCTAATCGGGGAGATAACGAGAGCCAATGACCCGGGCAGTTGCTAGTCATCTCGTCTGAGATTGAAGGCCAACCTCGGAACTTTGTTGCTACTACTAGTAGATAGTGGAGGGGGGATCAAGGGCGATCGGGCTGGTTTCTGGGTGTAGCGCTCCAAGCGCATTGGAGGCTGGCTGGCTGGCTGGTGGATGCTGAATAATTGGGAGGGGAGGTAAGTAGGTTTGGTGGGTGGCTGATTGTCGGGTTTTGGGGCCTCGCGGCCTGATGTGAGTGGTGGTTGTGTTGGTTTGGATTTGGCGATGGACTGGAATTTGGACTGTCTGGTTGGTGTCTGTCTATCTATCAGGAGAGGAAAATCTCCTAGGTATGCTTTGGGTTGTCATTACCAGGGTTCTGACTGGCTAGATTTTTATGGCTCGTCCGGATAGGGGATATACGTGGGCTGCAACTGTAATAATTGTATTGCCAGCAGTCGATCCGCTGGTTGTCCCGAGATGGAACTAGATCCACCGTAGTAGTAGTATCTTGTAATCTTGTGCACCTTGACCGTTTTGGCTGGTGGAAAGATAACGAGTCCCCCAACCCCAACCCCTCCCCTAGTATGGAGTAATACGAAGTAGATATCTACTACTAGATAGATACTACTACTATAGTAGATACATCCTCTGAAAAATGCCATGCAGGATCGTCTGTGTGACCGGGTAGATGGAATTCCAGCGACCGTGGTGCCTGACTAGCTTGCACTCCCACAGGTTCATGACACAACATCCTTGCCCCTGAAAGTGCGGGGAGCCGATGAGCAACAGCAGCGAGAATCCTGCCTCGCTTTGACCGTCGGATCCTGTTCCTGCCAAAGCCGAGAGTCATCAGATTAATGCTCGATCCGTGCACCTGATTGATGCACCGCCGAGCACAGGGCAACGTCGGTACCGGCGCCTAGCGCGGGGTGGCGATCGAGGGGATTTGCTGCTGCTGCTGATAAGCTGCTGGGTCGGTGGAGCTCCAGATAAAGCCCGACTCGCTCCTCATGTTGGTTGGCACTTTATTAGGTAAAACGTTCGTCTGATCCTTTACCCACTGCCACTGGATAAGACTGAGAGGAGTCATTCATTCATTCATTCCCTTACTCTTACTATTCTGGCTACCTGACGTTTTTTTTTTCCATTTCTTTCCTGGTCTTTTTCTTTTTCTTTTTCTTTTCCCTTTTCTTTTTTTTTAATCTTCTCTTTTCCCCCTTGTCAACGGTCACTAAACTTTTCTTTTTCCCTTTCGTGTCTGCATCTTGGTAGTGCCTTAGGAACCCACACTGCACAGTCTCCAGCTAGTTACTGTGAAGTATCCGTCGTGGCGGTGGAGGTGTAACAATTTCCAAGGCAGCTAGAAACCGACTGGCCATTTTGCCCGGACCGAGAAAGAAGCAGTGCCGAAGGAAGGAAGGAAGGAAAGAAAGAAAGAAAGAAAGAAAGAAAGGGGCATCCAGAAGTGAAGGGCCGAAGTACAAGACAGAGCCAAGTCACCTGCTCTTTCTCCCCTCCACGACATCCCATTCATTTCCACTTCACCATCACCACCACCATCATCATCACCACCACTTCCTTCACCACCTCATCATATTTGCCATCCTTCTCTACCCAATCCATACCAGCTTCTCTGCCCGGCACCCTGACCCACGTCCACGTCCACACCCACACCCATCGCCCTCTGACTAGATCTCGCTCCCTTCTTGCGTGCTGCTCCCATTGATACCATCCCCTGGAACAATGGCGTAACCAAGGGTTTCTGAAAACAATGAATGCAAGCTCCCTGCCATCCAGAACCGTCAAGTGCAAAAAGAAAAGAAAAGCATAAAGGAACTCCCTCCCACTCACCATCTGACTTGGCCTGCGCCACGGACTGCCGGGCCACTCACCTGCTTCGCCCTGTGTTGCCTGGCACGGGTTTCAGCAGAGCTGTGCCAGCCTCTCACCTCATTACACATCAAGAATCGACTCCGCCTTGACCCCATCTTGATTCCTCGTATGATCTGCCTTATATCCACCTGTCATCAATCAAACCTGTCGCCCGGACTGTGCAAACTTCTTCGTGACTGCAGCCGAGCTTAGCCCTTAAACCGTCTTCTGCTATCATCTACCTTCACCACACCGGACCCGCCTCTCATTCAATTGTGCAGGGTCCGGATCTTTTGTTTCAAATACAACACTTGAGTACCATCAGGCAGGATGGAGCAGTCACTATCTCTCATCTCTGCCCAGGTCCAGTTCATGGTAAGTCTTCCTTCTTTCTTCCACAATATTCTTGCTATCCCCGCTCCGCTTCTCCAATATCTTCCGATGCAACATGGAATCTTCTCGTGCCAGGCTCGTCTCATTAATGACTGTGGTGGAAATACAGGAAGACCGACTGGCCCTGGTGCACATCCCGCTGGACCTCTACCCATTCTTCTTGAACCCTATCCTGCAGCTTCTCTTCCACGAGGTGTCTCCCATCTCCGAGAATCAGATGGAAGAGGACGATGGGTATCCCGAGCGCCCCAGGCGCCATCAACCGGCCTTTCTGAACTTCTCACTCACCCCGGTGGAATGTTCGATCATGTGCCCCAGGCAGCTCGCTAATGAGTATTTTGCCCCTCTGGTCGACAAGTTCGTTCAGAGCAATTCGTCCGGCCAGAGCCGTCTGTCCATTAGCAATGACGACTTCATCGCTATGCAGGTATACGGGGAGGGCCTCGAGGCGGGCCAGCGGGTGCTTGAGCTCACGAGCCCGCTGGCAATGGCAGGAATGTACGTGTAGCTGATCCTGGATTCGTGTAACATGCTGACTGGAATGACGCAGCTCCATCTTCTTCATCTCCACATACTTTTCCGACTACATCATCGTGCCCCTCCGGAGCAAGACACAGGTGATTGAGGCTTTGGAGAAACGTGGCTTTCAGTTTGAAATGACAACGGAGGCTTTCATCAACAACAACAACCAATCCCAATACAATAGCTGCTTTAGCCCCATGTCTTCTCGGTCGGCGAGCAGTCTGGGTTCGCCTCCTGCGACCCCGCCGCCCTCGTCATTGGACGAACTACAGGCGCGCACATTTCGCTCCCTGCGCAAGCATCACATTGTCCCATCTGTCGACAGATCTCTGCGTCTAGTCCAGTGCGCCGCGCATCACCGCTATAGCAGCGATACTAGCTCCATCTCCATCCTCCGAGATGCCCTCACCACTGCCCTGGTCGTCGACCAGCCACGCTTTCTCTCTCTCACTCTGACCGCTGCTGATCCAGCGGCATCCCTGTTGTTGGAGAAACGGCTCCTGCCACGATTCTCGAGCGATCCATCTGCGACCACGGACTCGGATGATGATATGAGTCTTCTCCTGGGCTCGAAGGAGGAAATCCTTGTTCCCATCATGCTTGACTTGCGTAAGCTTCCTCTCGAGGCCTCGGGAATAGTGTGCGGCGTTGCTGGAAGACTGGCCGATGCAACGCACGCCCGAGGGGATGAGGACACTGACATATCCACCATTCTTTCCCACTCGTGGAACGGTGGTGGCTCCTCTTTCGACAGCGCAATCAAGAATTTCCTCTCATCCAGCCACGGATCCGGCGGCCCTGTGAGGCCCTTCGGTACCAGTCCTGGCTACAAGACTCATCGCCTAGAGCCAGACATGGATCCTTACATGGACGCCGTGGAGATCAGCTTCCTCAGCACCGCGAGGGCGGGAACGATCATTGTGGGTGAGCATGAGCTCCATCGTGCCGTCGACGCGCTTGAGGCCGAAAGCCACGAACCCGAAAAGGCAATCGCGGCGCTCCGTATCTAACTTTCTGACTCCTCCTTATTATAATACCCCTTACAAAAGTTCTGAACATGCTTTTTTTTGCATTCCTTTCGATTTCCTGATTTCCGCTCGGGCCCAGCGAGCTCAGCGCAGCAGACGCATCCATTCTCCATATTCTTCTTCTTTTCTTGCTTGTCTTTCTAATGACTCATGCACAAAGGATACCAAAAACGCTGCATCTCCCTTTTTGTCACATTCGAGTTTTTTTCTTGATTTCTCCTCCCAAGTACTTACTTACTGGCGGACCGGAGTTTGGGATACGCTGCATACATACCAAAAAGTTTTGCGTGAAGTTTTCTTTGCATCCTGATGAAGATTTTCGACTTGCGTTGTCTCCTCTCTACTTCTTCCCTCTAGCTGTGATGCAATAATCTCATATGTTTTTATTCACACTGTCAATAACTTAGCGAGCGAGGCCGGTGTTGTCTTTTGGTTTGGTCTTATTTGATCTGCGGACTAGGGCGGGTATACGTGATTTGTATCTAGCACGACGGGTTACTACTTGGTCACAGTCGCATATTGTTGGACATTGTGTGGAGGATGAATATGAAACCATGGGCTTATTGTCCGGAGTGTATTTTCGTGTATGTACCCACTATGACCGTATCAGTATCTTCGGCATTGACCGTAGATTGCGCTCAGACCTGCCAGGCGCCGCTTCGAGGCCGCGAGGGAAAAGTAAGTTTTGCAATTGACGCCACCGTACTTTGCGAGCTGAATGCCTCATGAGCAGCAGTAAGTAATACAGGGACAGAGAGGGAAAAGAAAAAAAGCTTCAGCCTGACAAGTTCTCCACCTCGACACCAGAAGAAACCAATCGAATCCGCATGCGTGAAAACTATATGATCCCTCAGGGGAGGAGTACGTAGGTTAGCGCGCTCGTGCGCATAGCCTCGAAATCCATGACACCATCGTGCTTATCCTTGTTTTGGCATCTCGGGCCAGTGTTGCCTGGAGCGGTTCGCCCATCTGATGATCGCGACAGCTGACGCGATGCGCTCTTTGCCGGTGATATCCGAGGAGGCGATAGAAACCCGCCCCCCCCCCCCTCTCAAAAAAGTAAATTAGCCAATACAGGAAGTGATGATGCAGGCAACAAGGCTGAGAACATCCGTTCGCATTGATAACGCTGCACGTGCGGGTTGTGGCGTGCCTTAAAGCTCGCATGGTATCCAGTCATGGGTGGAATACGAGCAAGGTGGACGAGCCAAGAGGGCAATGTCTGTGCGGGAGCTGGTGGCTGATGAGCATGCTGACAGAGTAAACCTTGCTAGGTAGTAGGTAGGTTGTTGGTTACTGTCTGGGAAGTGGCTGGCTAGCTAGCTCGCTAGCTGAGCATGGATTGGACAACACAGCCTAGCGATAGACTTTGACGGTTCCTGATAGTACAGTAAGCAGACACATCGGTTAGCCACGTGCTTGCGCCACAACAAGAAAACAAGCAAACCGGAGAGTTTGAAAACCGAGACAATGCGAGAAAGGATAGCACATGGGAAAGTATGAATGGAAAATAGAAGGGGCTTGTGCGACGGGAATTGAAACATACCATCTGAACAACCTGCAGCCCAGCTACCGCCTTTCTCATTCCATGACACAGCACTCACGGCCTTGACGCCTTCTCCGGTCGGTACACACGCGATCATCTCTCCACTAAGTACATCCCAGGCGAATACGGATGCCTGTCTAGAGCCATTGTCATTGCCACTGTTATCCGCCTCACTCCCACTGAGAACGACGGCATCTGCTTTCGCAAAAACAGACCGGATTCTCAAATCACTCTTGCGATATGTTGCATTACTTTGGCTAGCACTGACATCCTCACCCCCAAACGCCTTCAGGAGCTTTCCGTCACTCCGGTCCAGCATCCGGATCCGTCCATCCGTTGTAGACGCCAGGAGGGCATTGCCGTCATTAGAACAGCGGACACTTGTGACTGGGTGCGCGAGAACATCGACAATAGTGCGTCCCATACGGATATCGTACACTCGTACTCGGCCGTCGTAGCCCCCACTTGCGATGGAGTACGTAGGCATGTGTACATGAAGGGAGGAAACGGTATCTCGGGCTTCGGTGAGGGTTTGGATTGGCTTGTGGGAGTTGGATTTGGTATCCCAGATGTTGATGGTTGTGTCTGCACTGCCTAAATCATACGTGGAATGTCAGTGATTGTAGCGGAAGCGTTGCATTGAAATTGGATAACCCACCAGAAACCACTACCGAGTCACTTTCGCCTGCGAACTGCACTGCCTCGACGCGTGCATTATGCCCACTCCAGCGTCTTATTGTTCCTCCTTGCTCGACATCCCAAAGGAAAACCTGGCGGTCTCCGCCAACACTGCTGAATCGGGAGTTGTCTGCTGCGACAGCCACGTCCAACACGGCGTACCCGTGCGCTTCGTACTTCTGGATAGGAGATGTCGTCTCCGCGTTGTTATTGTTTGAAATGGCTCGGGTGAGGTGAATAGCACGATCTGTAGACCCTGTGAGGACATAAACCCCAGGGTCACTGGAGAAAGTCACCGCGTTCACGGGTCCTGCGGTACGTCAGAGGGGATCTAGAGCTTTGGGGGAGGGTGGAGCGAGCTTACCATTGTGGGTTTTGAGAGTGTGGACCAGTCGGGTGGGGAATTGTTTGATTGCTGGCATTGGCACTAACTGGGATGGGAGGTGCTCAACGCAGGAGGGAAGGAAATAATGAAAGGTCTGCGATACTTATGCTTCAGGCATGCCTCGACTAAAGAATTGGAGCCCCGTTGGAGCCGGGCGAGGGCGCGGCTCACCGCCGGCGGGGATTAGCTTCAAGCCAACAGCTACTCCGCATTATTCCCAGCGGATCTACGGGTTATCTCGGCTTTTCTCTTTGCGGAACCCCCCTTGGCACAAAATTAAATCTGTATTGACATGCTACGGAGTACAAGTGGGTTATTATCGAAGATGTAGTCAAACCATCGCTAGTTACCAGCAGGCAAATCAGAAGAGCAAAACCACCAGACGACTATGAGCGTCACTGCCCTTGTCGCATGGTTCCCCTGAGCGCGCAAAATCCGAAAATCAACATGAAAAGAGAAAAGTTAAAGGGGTAGTCAGATGTAAAGATATTAGTCGAGACGAAAGCACAATCCTTCTGCTTTTTCCACGGTCCGTTGGAGAAACACGGTCGTTCCCAGTGGTCCTCCGGCATCTTAACGACGTCCGTGGCTGCGGGTAGAAGAGCCCTGCAGCGAGTCGATTTCCTGCTCGAGTGATTTGATTCTGTTTGCGGTCAGCATCACATTGCCACTAGGGGGGCGGTCTGGAAACATACGCAGCATGGGTGGCCTCCAAATCCTTGTTGAGGCGGTCCCTCTCTGCAATGAGCTTCTGCTCCCACTGGCGGAACCGCTGTTCCTCGACCTTGACCTGTTCGGTGAAGCGCTTGCGCAGGTTCTCTTCCTCCTCCTTGAACTTGGGGTTGTCCAGCTTCCTGGGGCGGGCCTCGCCGAATTTCCTGGTCTCCATCTGCTGTGCCCGGTAGGCCTCGTAATGCTGCTCTTCTGTGGTGTGAATCAGATCCAGCATGTGGGTACGGATCAGGATTGAGCGGAGCTTCTTGAAGTCGCAGTGGTCTTCATTCTCAACCTCAGCAACACCCCAGGCGTATTGACGACCCTTGACAACCCGGTTGTCGCTGGTCTTGACGTCCTTCTCGGATCCGATGACAGCAAAAGGCATGGCAGCCATCAGGCTGCGTGCGTGAGTGGCGGCATGTTCATCGTCCTCTTCGACGGGAGGGGTGTAGATCTTGATGCCCTGAGCCTCGATGACAGCACGGATCTGAGATAGTCGATAACGGTTAACTACCACCTTTCAGGACGGGATAATGGCTGGGCTGCTCACTTTCTGCTTATAACGGGCCAGATCCGAAGGGCTGAGGGTATCGGCCTTGGCAACGACAGGGATAAGGTTGACACGGGAGCTCAGGCGCTTCATGACTTCAATATCGAGGGGCTTCAGGGTATGTCCGGTGGGTCTGATGAAGTACAAGCAGGCATGCACACGCATATCGATCTTGTCCGTGCGACGGGGCTGCTGCTCTTGCAGCATGTACGACTCATGCTGGTCGTCGAGGAACTCAATAATGGGTTGCCAGGAGTCACGGTTGTTGACATAGTCTCCGAATCCGGGGGTATCAATAACGGTCAGGCGGACTAAAAGCGGGGAAGGAACCCGCAGCGTTAGCAGTTGGCCAAGAAGCTAGAATTCCCAGTATAAACCTTTGAAAAACTTCTCCTCCAACTCGGCCTTGGTGATCTCGATTTCGACCGTCCGGTCAATCTGCTTCTGGTGACGGCGCTTGTGGTCGGCGTAGTTCTTGATGGTGGTAGAGAAAAGGGTGTTGATGAAGGTGGTCTTTCCCAAGCCGGATTCACCAGCAACCTGCATAGTCTAATGAGAATGTGGCTCCTTTATCGCACGGTATCTAGAATGAACCAACCATGATAGTGAAGGCCGCACCCCGCTTAGCGACAATCTTGTGTCTGAATAGATTAGTTAGGATGGATCCTTGGTGTACCCGCCTCTAGCGACAACATACCGCTGGTTGGGGAGCTATTGAGAAGCCATGTTAGCAACCATGTCCGTTGGGGCCCTCTGAAACACAATCTATCACTTACGTTGGCAATGCCAATGGGGGTGGCAGTCTCGGTGGAGGACATGGTGATAAAGGGGTGAGCTGGAGGTCAATTAAGCAGAGCTAAACAGCGGAGTAAATAGAGGCAGAGAACAACCCGGGCCTGAGGTGAAGGGCCAGCGGAATCAGGGAAAAGCAACGAGGGATGGACGACGACAAGGCGAGGACAAGGAAGCAATGGCCGTCGGGCGTGAAGGGGAAAGAGGGACTGGATGGAACTGGAGGACGTGCCTTCTTCTTGCTTTGGGTTGGTTTGGCTGGTTGGCTGTTCGGGCGGCTGCCCCTGAATCCCCCAGGCAAACACATGCAAACACGCCGGCGTGACCTGGCTACCGGGGTGATTAACGCCTCAGGCAGCCGGGGGCAATAGTGCCTTTCCTTGCTGGGAATAGCCTGGCCGCTAGGGCCCCAGATGGCGCTAACACTATTGAAGACTAACGTCCCGGGTCCGGAGCAACTGTTGATCCCGGCTCTTATCGCCCGCTTTTGGCAGGACGATTTTTTTGAAGATCGTCGGATGGCATACAAGGCGCTTGCTTGCTGAGGTGCAAACGGATCGGGTTGGCGACAATGAAGACGGATTTCAAGGTGAGCTCACCTGCTTTGTGCTACCACATTGGACCCAGCAGAACAGGGGTGAAAGGAGGCTGGAAAAGCTCTAACAGAATGTCTACTAGTTCTCCAACCTACTGGGTACGGTCTATCGCAAAGGTAATCTGCTCTTCACCCCCGATGGCACCTGCTTGCTCTCCCCAGTGGGCAATCAGGTCTCGGTTTTCGACCTAGTCCAGTATGTTTACCGCTTCTGTCTATTCAGGATTGTCCAGACCATGGATACTAATGCGGTTCTCCCCACAGCAACACCTCCTATACCCTTCCCTTTTCGCATCGCACCAATATCGACCGCCTTGCTCTTTCTCCCCGAGGAAACCTCCTTTTGACCATTGACGAGAATGGCCACGCGATCTTGACGAACTTCCTCCGCCGAATTGTCATTCACCACTTCTCCTTCAAAGGCCGTGTCTCCGCACTCGAGTTCTCCCCGTCTGGTCGTCACTTCGCTGTCGGAGTAGGAAGACGCTTGCAGTTCTGGCATACCCCGACAACCCCTGGGACCGACAACAATGGCGAGCTTGAGTTTGCTCCCTTTGCCCTGCACCGTGACCTTGCTGGGCATTTCGACGTGATCCAGCACATTGAGTGGTCGAGCGACTCGCGCTTCCTGATTACGGCTTCGAGGGACTTGACGGCTCGGGTATGGAGTTTGGATCCAGAGGAGGGCTTCGAGCCTACCACATTGGCCGGTCATCGTCAGGGCGTGAAGGCGGCATACTTCTCTGCTGATCAGGAATCGGTAAGTCTGCGCCTGGAAGCGGCTGAGCTTGAGCTGATCGCAAATAGATCTACACCGTCAGCTCGGACGGAGCCCTTTTCAGATGGGAATACGTGAGCAAGAAGGACCCAGAGACCATGGAGGACATCGCGGAGGCTCGGTGGAGGATTGTGAAGAAAGACTTCTTCATGCAGAACGACGCCAAAGTTAACTGCGCCGCGTTCCACGCGTCCACTAACTTGCTGGTCGTCGGTTTCTCCAACGGGTTATTTGGGCTTTATGACTTGCCGGAGTTCAACATGATTCATCAGCTGAGGTATGCCTATCCACTGAATTCTGTGTTGCCGAGCTAACCCGAGTTCAGTGTCTCCCAGAGCAACATTGATTGTGTCACGATAAACAAGTCGGGCGAGTGGCTGGCATTTGGTTCCTCCCAGCATGGACAACTGCTGGTGTGGGAGTGGCAGTCGGAGTCCTACATTCTGAAACAGCAGGGACACCTGGATTCTATGAATGCGCTGGCCTACTCCCCCGATGGCCAGAGGATCGTTACTGCGGCAGATGATGGAAAGATCAAGGTCTGGGACGTCAAGTCTGGCTTCTGTATTGTGACATTTACAGAACACACGAGCGGAGTCACGGCGTGTGAGTTCGCCAAGAAAGGAAATGTCCTGTTCACCGCGTCCTTGGATGGCTCCGTGAGGGCATGGGATCTCATCCGTTACCGAAATTTCCGCACATTCACCGCCCCGTCCCGGTTGTCTTTCTCATCCCTTGCTGTCGACCCCAGTGGTGAGGTGATCTGCGCCGGCTCTCCGGACTCATTCGATATCCATATCTGGTCGGTACAAACCGGTCAGCTGCTCGACCAGTTGTCTGGTCATGAAGGCCCCATTGCTACGATGGCGTTTGCTGCCGATGGCAGCCATCTAGTGACCGGCAGCTGGGATCGCACTATTCGCGTATGGAGCATTTTCGGGCGGACACAAACGAGCGAGCCTCTTCAGCTCCAGTCTGATGTATTGAGCGTAGCTTTCCGACCTGATGGAAAGCAGGTCGCTGCGTCGACCCTGGACGGACAGCTGAGCTTCTGGTCGGTCGAAAATGCCGTACAAGTTGGTGGAGTTGATGGTCGCCGTGATGTGTCCGGCGGACGCAAGATCACTGATCGTCAAACTGCTGCGAATGCGGCTGGGACCAAGTCTTTCCGGTGCATCAGATACAGCTCCGACGGCAGTTGTATTTTGGCTGCTGGAAACAGCAAATACATTTGTCTGTACGACGTGGCGACGGGCTCCATGGTGAAGAAGTATACCGTGTCTGTCAACACATCGCTGGATGGAACTCAGGAGATACTCAACAGCCGTGACATGACGGAAGCGGGCCCGCGAGGCCTCATTGATGAAACAGGCGAAGCCTCTGACCACGAGACACGCGTCGACCGCAACCTCCCTGGTGCCAAGCGTGGCGATCCTAGCGTTCGCACAACTCGGCCAGAGGTCCGGGTCACGTCCGTCGACTTCTCGCCAACGGGACGTGCGTTCTGCGCGGCTTCCACGGAGGGTCTCCTAGTCTATAGCCTAGATACGGACATGGTTTTTGATCCCTATGATCTCGACATCTCGATCACCCCGTCCAGCATTGTGGCCACCTTGGAGGGAGCCAAGCGCGCAGCTGCCACAGGCGAAGTGAACGATGATGAAACTTTCTTGAAAGCATTTATCATGGCGTTCCGCCTGAACGAGCAAAAGCTGATCCGAACGGTCCATGAGGCCATCCCCCCTGGCGACATCTCCCATGTCGTCCGTTCAGTGCCGACTGTCTACCTTCCTCGTCTCCTTCGCTTCGTGGCCCATGCCGCTGAGGAAACACCACATCTCGAGTTCAACCTGCTGTGGATTGAGGCGCTTTTCAGCAACCACGGTCGGTACTTTAAGGACAATGCAGGCACCTTTGCCCCTGAACTTCGTGCGGTCCAGCGTGCCGTTGACGAGATCAACAACAGCTTGAAGAGGCTCGCTGAGAAGAACATCCACAACCTCAACTACCTCCTGTCAAGACCAGTTCTTGCCGAACAGAAGAAGCCTGATCTGGCCCTGAAGGCCATGGGTGTGGCAGTAGAGACCAAGGCGGGGGACGAGCAAATGTCAGATGCTGACGCAGAGGGGGAAGGCGAATGGGTCGGCCTTGAATGATTGTATGCTATGTTTTGTATCTATACTCCTGTTCTGTTCTCTCCCAACCGTCTTTCTACTTTGCATTTGCGCCTGGCGTTGATCTGTGGTATACCTGGAGATAAAGGAGACGGTAAAAGTTGGGAGTCTTGCTGTGTTTATCGGTTATGTCCATATATTCACTGAATAATCCCGATAAAAATTCTTCATATAAGTGCGAATGGTCCTGTGCGTATGTAGGCAAATCTGACCTGTACCGGGTAGGTACAAACGGTGAATGCATAGGCTTGCCTGTTTATACAGTAAGTACTAGTAACTGTTGGTTCCTCTCCTTCCTCACTTTATTCCCACTCACCACCCACTCAACACAAACAAAATCTACTTTCAAAGCCGCATTACTGCGCGGCCAACATGGCCCTCTGGCTTTGCTATTTAGCTTTCGCCGTGGTCTTCTACTACTACCTCACCAGGCCATCCAATCCGCTCTACGTCCCCACCGTCAAGTACAGCCGTTTGCTCCCGGACTTCATCAACCGAATCCTTTACTACGTGACTGCGCCATCTTTGATCCACAGAGGATATGAGAAGGTATACATCCTCTGCGCAGGTTTAGAACTACTAGCTCATCGTGTACAGTACAAAGATAGACCCTTCCGCATCCTCAAACCCAATGGCGACTTGATCGTGCTACCGGCTAAATATCTCAAGGAGATTCATCGCATTCCACCTCAGAAGTTGAATCCAGTGGATACGGATTTCAAGGTGAGGTGACAGATACAATCATTTACGATATACTCATGCTGATCCTACAGACTATGTTGCGTGACTATGCCATTGCGACGGCTGTGAGTGATCTTCCCGCCCAAGCTGTCACCAAGAGGTTGAATGTTTCACTTGGTGGGTGTACCCTGCCTCCGTTAAAGGTGTTCCTGCTAAAGTTATGATGCACTCCCAGGTCAAATCATTCCAGAGGTAATCGAGGAGCTGCATTATGCGATCAGTGTCGAAATCCCCAAGTGCAAAGGCAAGCAATCACCACATCCTTAGACAACCCGCGTACCTAACACAACCAGAACAATGGGCTTCGATTAACCTCTACAACACTATCCTTCGCATCGTCAGCCGTACCATCTCCCGCGTTGCTGTCGGTGAAGACATATGCCGAAGCGAAGAATGGACCAATGCCATTTCTTCCTACACATCCAACGCCATCTTCACCATTAACATGCTCCAGTTCTTCCCCTGGTTTCTCCGTCCCCTGATCTCACAATTCACTCCCCTCAATGATCTCCATCAAGAGCAACTCTGGATACAACGGGAGCTTCTCGTACCTATGATTCAGACCCGCCGGTTCGCGGAGATCAATCAAACAATGTACATAAAGCCGGACGATCTGATGCAATGGATGATGGATCTGGCAAAAGCCTCGTTCGATCGCGATCCTGAGAGCATGGCGAGGGGGTTGCTGGAGCTCACCAGTGTGAAGATGATCCATACCACCACGTTGCTAGTGACCCATGCGCTCTACGAACTTGTGGCTCGACCGGCGTATAAAGAGCCGTTGCGGCATGAGGCCCGGAAGATGCTGAAGAACGGATGGTCGAGGGTGACGCCGGAAAGTCTGGAGAATCAACGCCTTCTGGATAGTTTTCTGCGCGAATCTCAGCGCTGGAACCCGCCCAGTGAGGGTAAGTTCAGTCCGAATAATAGATTGGAGGTAATCCTGGCTAACGTGTGCAGTCAACGTTCACTACATTGCCAAACGCCACTTCACTCTTTCAGACGGGCTTCAAATTCCCAGGGGGTCTCATATCTGCTTCGCTGCCGGTCCTATGGCGAAAGACCCATCCATTGTGTCTGAAGGACAGATGTTTAATGGATTCCGCTGGTGTAAGGATCCCACCAAGCGTCTAGTGTCTACTGACCTGGCGAACCTGCATTTCGGGTCTGGTAGCGAAGCGTGTCCGGGGCGGTTTTTCGCGGTGAGTATTGCTAAGCTGATCATGAGTCGCCTACTTTGTGACTATGATATGAATTTTGAGGAAAGGCAGGCCAGACCAGCGAATCTTTGGGAGGGGGATCGCATCATGCCAAACCCAAGGGTTTGGTTTCTTATTCAAGAGAGGAAGAGGGATTAAGGCGTGTTGCTATGATGGCTTGGAGGGTTGGGATGTGCAACAATGGGGAATGATTCTTTGACGGCGCATAGGATTCAAAAAATGTTATAATCGTAGTCCATTATCAGACAACCTCCTGCTCTCCACCCACACTCCGCCTAAAAACCTAACCTACCTACCACTCCCATCTCAAAGAATAGCCACCGCATTAGGCGGACTCGCCACACCCCCAGGAACCTACACAACACCCATCAGCATCCAACACGCACCAAAAACATAAACAAAGGAAAAAAAAAAACTCACATTCAACGGCACACTACACAAAAAGAACCTCCATCTTCCCCTCCGCCTACAAAACCCCGCCAACTCCTCCAAATCAAAATACTCCCCAATCGGCAACCCCCACCCAGCAAGACACCACTCATGCAACGTCATCCCCTCGGGGTGATTAATCGGCGAGGGTTCAAAACTCGGCGTATCGGACGCCACAGCCGCGAACTGGTTCTCCCATAGCCAACGCAACGTTTCCTCTCCGTTCTGGATGCCCGCGAAGCAAGGCGCGGGGCGATTGCCGAGCGATTCTTCTTCTTGGGACGTGAGGGCGTTGAAGGCCTGCGTGAAGCCGGTGCGGATGAAAAGAATGTCGCCGGGGCGGGGGTGGATGGAGTACTCGGTCATTAGGGACTTGAGGTGCGCGAGGGGAATGGGGGTTGAGGTGAAGGGGGTGAGTGGGATGGAGTGGGTGGTGGCCCAGTGGGCGTAGTCGAGGAGGATGCCCCGGCCGGTGATGCCGCCTTTTTTGGTCCATGCTGTGGATGGAGAGGGTTAAGGTTCTGGTGGTATGGATTGTATGGATGTGTGGAGGGTATTGGGTTGTGGTGTGTTGGTGAGGAGGAAGGGAAAGGGGGGGGTGGGGGGAGTATACGAACTATCAACGCCCAATACCCCCGAAGACTTGAATTCCTCTAAACAGTGGCCATTGTAGTAGCATTTGTGTTTTTGGTTGCCTGTATGTCGCCATCCCCACCAGCACGGCGCACTTATCAGTCTCTTTTTCCCATGGAGTAAAATTACATACTATATACTTCGAAGGAACACCCACCATAATGTCGAAACCCATCCCACTGGGTACTCGTCTGAGTATTGAATGTCAGCACGTCATCGTTGACATACCGCGGCGCCTTGTTGATGATTTCCTTGACGAACGGTTTCCGGCCGTAGCTGGAGTGTTTGATGCGGTCGAGTGGCAGGTCGAGAGGAATGCGCACGCCTTCACGGATCTCTTCGGCCGCGGCTTGTCGGACGGTTTCCGGAGTGAGCAGGTTCAGCATGCCCAGGTCGTTGGATGGGCCGAAGAGACCCCAGGTGTTACCCGGGGGACCGGTGGGGTCGAGGGTGAGGTTGTCGAAGGTGGGAATGGTGGTCATGTTAGATTGATTTGATACTATTATTCCGGTTGTGGAGGAATTGAAGGGGTTTGGGTGTTGGGGTTGGGATATATACAGTAGATGGACCGGATACTTTTCCATCATCGGGGGATGTCCGAGATGCTTCCCCGGAATACCCTGGCAGATCATTTAGTTTCTACGCTGCATGCAGAGGCGGGGAACTCCAGCCAATTGTCGTATCCCAACATGTCATTCAGGTATAACAAGTCAGTCGTGGTTCTACATACATCAGGACTGTACCTCTATGCCTTCCGTAACAACCACCTCCAACCTCTATCCCAACGCCAGTGCTGGATAAGAAAATCCTGGAAGCCCGCCTAGTTTTCTCCCGCAACCGCCGCCCCGCGTCCCCGACCACGACCCCGGAACCCATTGCCCCGGTCTCCCATGTTACCACGCCCGCGTCCACGCCCACGGCCATTGATGCCCTGAGGCGGGGGCATATGCGAGTAGTTCTTGGGCCGGAAATTCGGGTTGTTGTTGATGACCCCGGCGTCCGGGTCGGTATCCACCGCAACGTATCCTCCTCGCGTGCGACCCGGTCCTCCACGGCCACCACGGCCTCGACCGCCGCGAGCCGACCCATCAGCGGGAGATCCACCGTTGGATTGCGGCCGGAACGGCAGGGTGGTCTGCGCACCCACTCCGTTGGATGCACCACGCCCGCGTCCACGGCCAGTGACTGCACCACGGTAGGAGTTGCCCAAGGGTGGTGGCGCCGGGGCTTCTCTCAGCTGTCCCTGACCACCAGGCCCAAGCGGGGCACCATATCCGGCAACTGTCAACGGCGATGGCTGTGATTGCTTTTGCGCGTTCGTCGTCGCGCGGGTGTTGGCAGTCAATTGTCGGTAAGAAACATTGAGCACCGATGATGCCGGGACGGTCTGACCCCGGAACGGAGAACAACGGTCTCCCAGCGTGGTACCACTCATGAATGACACATCAAATACCACATCGAGGAGGAGAGCGCGGGGGGTCCGGGTGAGACCGACGACGGTTCCTCGGGTGGCGATGGGCACCTTGCCGGAATCTTGAGCATACACTACACGGTCACCCAGCTTGAACGTCTGGTTTCCGAGTCGTTGCTCAACGTCCGAAGGTCGCAGGAGAGCACCGCGAGGTACGCCACGGATCATCTTCGCCTGCATGGGTGGCAGACTGTGGGAAAGCTGATCGGCATCTTGTTCGATCATCTTCACGACATCGGAATCGAGCTGTTCCGCGTCGAGGGGAACCCGCTCAAAATTCTTGGCCTCGATAGACTTCAGCCATTCCCGGATTTCCTTCATCTTCAATAGGGCAACGTCTTCGGGATAGAAGTCGGTCGGCGTGTACCGATCATTCTGAGGGTTGCGTTGAATGCCCGCAATGAACTCGGGGAAGTTGATCATGTACTGTTGCAACAGGTCCACTGCCTTGGGACTGAACTCCCATCCGGAATCCCCACGGCGGGAATATCCGAGAACCTTTTGTTTCCGAGCCTCGAATTTCAAATTGAGACCCAGATTGGCACGCTGCCCCTCGATATCAACGGAGAACGAAGAAGTGATCTTGGCCAGAACCAAAGGGTTCAGGCGCAAGCTGCGCGCGATGGCGAACGAGGGCATGTAAGGGCAAAGTCTCTCAGCATCCCTGGCACGATCCCTCCCAAACTCAGGCTCCCGACCCTTCATCGCAGCAATCAATCCATTTACCTTGCCATCCTCATGCCCCGAAACATGCACTGGCCTTCCATAGTTGAATTCGCCCAAGAAGAATGCCCGGGAGTTTGCAGGGAACTCCTCCTCGATGGGCAAGGCCTCCCGCTCAATAAACCGTTCATCGGGGTTGATAACTTCATCAACGACCAGTTGAAGTGCGTAGTCAGTTTCCTGCCCCGGGATATCCGCAAATTCTTTGATCGTAGCACCCTCGTCAGTCTTGATCAGACCCTTGAGCAGCTGAACATGCACCATCGACTCGACATCACCGATGATCGTGCCTAGTCTCTTGCTGTAAGTCCCCTCGATCCTGTCCGCTTTCTTTCTCCACTGCTCAATCTGAGCTGCGGTGTGGGGGATAGAAACAACATGCCCCGTCGCTTCGGGGAGAATGTAGTCGAAAAGTTCATCCGATACACGGATAACAAGCGCTTCCTGCAAGAATGGGTAACCCACAAAGACACGCTGGCCGAGTTTCTGTTTGGCCAACTCGATGCTCGACCTGCTTCCAGGATCGAGCACCGTGATAACCATACTCTCGTTGCGGCTTTCTTGCTGGAAAACGGTGACGCCATGGAAGCCTAGCTGACCAACATGGGGCAGGGTCTTTTGACTGGGGAAACCAGCCAACGCTGCTGCGCCCATTTGCACGCCATCAACCAACCCAATGTATGGCTCAAGACCATCCATGGTTGGCAGATCGAAGGTGTTCTCCACACAGTGGCAGTTCGGAATGTCCGGGAACACTCCGGGAAGGGAGGACGGGTAGACGAACTGCACATCCGGGGAGTAGGTGAACTTGAGGCTGGCCCCGAATCCATTCCGGGATTTCTCATCAGGGGTCAAAAGGTGTTCTCTGGTAGCAAGGGCGTCCAATAGACGACCTTCTTCAATAAATGGGATCTTGACGACTGCCTCCCACTCCATCTTCTTTCCATTCATGTCCAACTCAAAATCACGCGGGTAGAAGTCGTAGATCGGGGACTCCGGAGAAGTCATCAGATCACGATAGGCAGCAGGCACAATCTTCTTGCTTCGATCAGGTAAAACTCCCATCAGCTGCTCATAGGGTCGAAATGGCTTTCCGAGTCGGAAGTTCGTGTCGGCCTTTAAGCCCTTCTTCACATCTGCGGAGAGTCAGTAAAAGCCTTCCAAACGTCATAGCCAACCAACACTAACCGGAAATCATTGGTGCGTAGTGGTACTTGAAAAACCATGGCCAGGACGCAATGCCGCGGTAATAGTAGTAGAGAACCCATTGGAGACCTTGCACGTAGTTCTCTGTCAACTCCCTCATCTCTTCGTGGCTATCGAGGCCCCAGCCGAATTTACCAACGTAGTAGTTGTTCTTCCATTCTTGGAATTTCTCCTGATATTTCTTCTCCGCAGCTTGCTGGGCTTCCTCGGCCGACAACTCCTGGACCTTGGCGTTCTCGTATCTCCGGATAATCCGCTGGACAGCCATAGAGGCCTCTTCGTCTTCTTCATCGCTATCGTCGCTATCGTTTGCAGGATGTTGGACCCGAATAAACCGATCACCATGTTCGTCTGCAACGGTGGTCCACGGGATCCGAAGATCATCTGCCAGCTGCTCCACAAATTTGCGGTCACGAGCCGGCATTGCGGAGGCAAAGTCAAGAGGCTTCGTTTCTACTCCCTTTCCAGGTCGGTTCAGAACATATTTCTTAACCTCCTTGAATAGATCTTTCTGGGCAGGGGTGACCGTGAGACCCTTGGGCTTCTCCTGGGGCTCTGCGCCGCCTGTTTTCTTGGCCTGGATCCACCGGGCATCCGAATACTCGGCTTCAAAGAAGCGGAACTCAACATCACTCAGCGCATCCAGAAGCATACCTAAGCGTTCCATCTGAATGACGCCCTGCTCGTTGATGTAACCGCCCATCTTCGGCAATGCCTCCTTGTAGATCTTGAACATAAATGCCAAAGCGCCTTCGTTGATATGCAAATTGGGCAGATTTGGTAAAAAGTCATTTCCAACAAAGAAAGCCATCAGAATAAAATCGTCAATAACACGTTCCATATCAAAGGGGAAGCTCAAGACACCCTCTTGTTCCAATCCCTGGAACTCCAATTCCAAATATTCTCGGACCATGCACAAATGCAAAAGGTAAAAGTTCTGGTGTTCGAGCTCCTTCGATTTCTTCTGGACTTGGCGGCCAAAGGTAACTTCCTCACGTAGGAGGCAGAAGTGAGGGTCGTGGCTCAGAAGACCCAACATGATCAGATCAGCATCAAGGCCGTAAAGACAGTGTCGAACATTGGGTTCGTAACCGGGCTGTGCTTTCGCATGCCGGATGTATTCCATAATCTTGTGTTCACCTTCACCGGGAACTTCGTGGCCGGAAAGGACGATCTCGACTCCTTGCCAGTCCTTATCTTCAGATATCTTCTTGCTAATAAAGTATTTCAATTGTTCAGTCAACTTGGCCATGAACTCTGTGCCCGGTGTGATACAATTGCTGTCAAATGCATCCTCCTTGGGCATTTCGATGCCCTGAGCAATCGCCTTTTCCTTCGCTGTCTCGGCGTCCAAAGCCGTTCGGAAACGTCTCGCGCGTTGCTGGTTCATCTTGGCCCGCGGTGCCACACCATCTACCGCCATGAAGAAAAGCTTCTTTGGCTTGATCTTGCCATACAAATGCTCAATGTAATTAAAAATAGCGATGAACATCTTGTCTTCAGTCATTCGGAAAGTTGGGGAGTCGCTGTCCTTGTGTGTACAATTATGGATAATGCCGTTCATGTCCAGATATAGGTTGTCGAATTCAGGTATACGATTCTCCGCGATCAACATGGAGATCGCGGGATACCGCTCGCTCAGCCAGCGGAAGAACTTGGGAACACCCATGGTGGAATATGTGGGAAACGATAAGATTCACAAGCTATAAAGTCGGAAGTTTAGCCAGATAAAAGGACTATCCTTTGTTCGTGGACGTTGTTCGGAGTCTTCCTCGTCGAGATTCAATGGAGCACCCAAGCTCGGTGGCAAATCATCCAGCGCACGGCAATGCGGTCGTAGATAAAACTAAACGACTGGGTATCCTCAGAGAACGTAGGACCGTAGAATACAACAAGGAAAGGAAGGATAAACACAAAGGAAATATGGGGGGGGTAAGGCGACGAGAGCGCCGTTAAAGAATCGAGGAGGGGCAGATTGAAGATTGATGACTCTGGCAGATTGCTTTGTGACCTCAGCGAATCCCCGGCCGAAGCTCATCAGGTGGTACTGCCAAGCCCGCCTTCCCGACCAGGCTTAGCTCCCCGGACCGCCCATTAACGCGCCGCCAAAGGGAAAGTCGCGTTTCTCCGTGCGAAC